ACTGTGTGTGTGTCCTGGTGGATCTCATGTGTTTCCTGTGCCCTTCTGGTCACCACATGTGTCCTGGTGGATCTCAAGGGGTTTCCTGTGCTCTCCTGGTCACTGTGTGTGTCCTGGTGAGTCTCAAGGGGTTTCCTGTGTCTCTTCTGTGTGTCACCTCCTCCTGGACCTCCCCTGAGGTTGTCACCTTGACCCACCTCTCATGGCCTTGCAGAGGTTGGAGATTTCCTGTCCTTGGACCTTGGTGGCACCAACTTCCGAGTGATGCTGGTGAAGGTGGGGGAGGGGGAGGAAGGACAATGGAAGGTGAAGACGAAGCACCAGATGTATTCCATCCCTGAAGATGCCATGACTGGGACAGCTGAGATGGTGAGTGTGGCATAGGGGGCATCTTGTGTCCTCTCCTGGTCACCACGTGTGTCCTGGTGGGTCTTGGGAGGCTTTTTGTGTCCTCTCCTGGTCACCATGTGTGTCCTGGTGGGTCTTGAGAGGCTCCTTGTGTCCTCTCCTGGTCACCACGTGTGTCCTGGTGGGTCTTGGGAGGCTTTTTGTGTCCTCTCCTGGTCACCATGTGTGTCCTGGTGGGTCTTGAGAGGCTCCTTGTGTCCTCTCCTGGTCACCACGTGTGTCCTGGTGGGTCTTGGGAGGCTTTTTGTGTCCTCTCCTGGTCACCATGTGTGTCCTGGAGGGTCTTGAGAAGCTTCTTGTGTCCTCTCCTGGTCACCACATGTGTCCTGGTGGATCTCAAGAGGCTTCCTGGTCCCTGTGACCTGAGTAGTGTCCTGAGGAGCCGCTGGTGGGGACAGTGTCCACCCCTGTGTGGTGGGACAGCCCCTGGTGAAGGTTGGGACCTCCTGTCCTGCAGCTCTTTGACTACATCTCCGAGTGCATCTCTGACTTCCTGGACAAGCACCAGATGAAGCATAAAAAGCTTCCCTTGGGCTTCACCTTCTCCTTCCCCGTGAGGCACGAGGACATTGACAAGGTGAGGAGGTGTCCCCAGGCCCTGGAGGTGTCCCCATGTCCCACCTGCGCCCACAGCGACGTCTCCATCTCCTCCCACTCCAGGGAATCCTCCTCAACTGGACCAAGGGCTTCAAGGCCTCTGGAGCAGAAGGGAACAATGTGGTGGGACTGCTCAGAGATGCCATCAAACGCAGAGGGGTGAGAACTTCCAGGGGTGGAGGACACCACCAGGGGCACCAAGGTGGGAGGGACACCAAAACCACCAGCTGTGCCCATGATGGGACCACTGGAGTCTGATGTGTCCTACTGGAGCCCAACTGTGTCCATGATGGGACCATTGGACCTTGGTGTGTCCCCAGGACCACTAGATCCCAGTTGACCCCATGATGGGACCACTAGACCCCAGTTGCCCCCCACGCTGACCCCATGGACCTCAGTTATCCTTTGGTAGGTTCTGAGGTGTCCTACCGGAGCCCAACTGTGTCCATGATGGGACCACTGGACCTTGGTGTGTCCCCAGGACCACTAGATCCCAGTTGACCCCATGATGGGACCACTAGACCCCAGTTGCCCCCCACGCTGACCCCATGGACCTCAGTTATCCTTTGGTAGGTTCTGAGGTGTCCTACTGGAGCCCAACTGTGTCCGTGGTGGGACCACTGGAGCTTGGTGTGGCCCCAGGACCACTAGACCCCAGTTGCCCCCCATGTTGACCCCATGGACCTCAGTTATCCTTTGGCAGGTTCCACCCCACAGATGTCTCACCCCCCACCCCTCCCCTTGAGGACCTTCCACCCCATCCCCACCCTGGTGACCCCCACGGTCCCCTGTCCATCTCCAGGACTTCGAGATGGACGTGGTGGCGATGGTCAACGACACGGTGGCCACGATGATCTCCTGCTACTACGAAGATCATCGCTGCGAGGTTGGGATGATTGTGGGTAAGATGTCCCTTCTGCAGGGCCACCTGGCCAGGCCTGGGGTGGCCCAGGGGCTTCTGCTGCCTCCTTGGCCTTCTGGGGGGGCCCCACTGAGGTCAGGGAGGTGGGAGCTGCTCCCTGGGGAGGTCACCAGGGGTTGGGACACCCACTGGGGTCAAGAGGTGGCAGAACGGAGGTGGTGGTGGCATCTAGGGATGGTCACCATGGCTTGGGGTGTCCCAGCGCAGCGGTGGCACCACGAGAAGATGCAGAGGTTGGATAAGGCCTTGAGGAACCTCTAGTGGGAAGTGCCTGGTGGAACTAGATGATCTCCAAGCTCCATCCCAACCCCTCAGCCCTCTCTGACCTTTGAGACCTTCTCCAACTCTTCACCGTTGCCCTCTCCAAGCTTCTCCCAGCTGGGCTAGGAGTGCTGGGGTTGGCTTGGTTGGTCCATCAGCACCAGCAGAAGGACCTTGTCCCACCAGTTGGGCTCCCCACAGGGACTGGTTGCAATGCCTGCTACATGGAGGAGATGCAGAACGTGGAGCTGGTGGAAGGGGACGAGGGCAGGATGTGTGTGAACACGGAGTGGGGAGCGTTCGGCGCCTCGGGGGAGCTGGATGAGTTCCTCCTGGAGTACGACCGCGTGGTGGACGAGACCTCCCTTAACCCCGGTCAGCAACTGTAAGGAAGAGGAGAGATCCAGTTCCTCTGGGTGTTCCCCCCCAACCTGCCCCGAGAAGGTCCTTCACCCCACCCAGGAGAGGAGGAGCTGGGGGTGAAGCAGGTCGAGGTGCCACCAAACGTTGGCGTTGATGGTTGTGTGTTGGCCCATCAAGGTATGAGAAGATCATCGGGGGGAAGTACATGGGGGAGATCGTCAGGTTGGTGCTGCTCAAGTTGGTGGATGAGAACCTGCTCTTCAATGGAGAGGCCTCGGAGAAGCTCAAGACTCGAGGGACCTTCGAGACGCGATTCATGTCCCAGATCGAGAGGTACCAGGGCTGGGGGAGGAGATCAGAACAACCAGATGGGTCACCTGGGACCTGTCATCCCATACCAACCTGCTTGGATTGACCCAATGAGGTTCTCCATCCCATCACCCTCTTCATCCACCCCATACCATACTGAGGCATCTCCACCTACCTCATACCAAGGTTCTCCATCCCATCACCCTCTTCATCTACCCCATACTGAGGTTCTCCATCTCCACTCCACCCATACCCATGTTCTCCATCTCCACCTACCCCATACCAAGGATCTCCATCCCATCACCCTCTTCATCTACCCCATGCTGAGGTTCTCCATCTCCACCTACCTCATACCAAGGTTCTCCATCTTCACCTACCTCATACCAATGTTCTCCATCTCCACCTACCCCGTACCAAGATTCTCCATCCCATCACCCTCTCCATCTACCCCATACTGAGGTTCTCCATCTCCACTTCCCCCACACCAACGTTTTCCATCTCCACCTACCCCATACCAAGGATCTCCATCCCATCACCCTCTTCATCTACCCCATACTGAGGTTCTCCATCTCCACCTACCTCATACCCATGTTCTCCATCTCCACCTCATCACCCTCTTCATCCACCCCATACCGAGGTTCTCCATCTCCACCTACCCCATACCAATGTTCTCCATCCCATCACCCTCTTCATCCACCCCATACCGAGGTTCTCCATCTCCACCTACCCCATACCAATGTTCTCCATCCCATCACCCTCTTCATCCACCCCATACCGAGGTTCTCCATCTCCACCTACCCCATACCAATGTTCTCCATCCCATCACCCTCTTCATCCACCCCATACCGAGGTTCTCCATCTCCACCTACCCCATACCAATGTTCTCCATCCCATCACCCTCTTCATCCACCCCATACCGAGGTTCTCCATCTCCACCTACCCCATACCAATGTTCTCCATCCCATCACCCTCTTCATCCACCCCATACCGAGGTTCTCCATCTCCACCTACCCCATACCAATGTTCTCCATCCCATCACCCTCTTCATCCACCCCATACCGAGGTTCTCCATCTCCACCTACCCCATACCAATGTTCTCCATCCCATCACCCTCTTCATCCACCCCATACCGAGGTTCTCCATCTCCACCTACCCCATACCAATGTTCTCCATCCCATCACCCTCTTCATCCACCCCATACCGAGGTTCTCCATCTCCACCTACCCCATACCAATGTTCTCCATCCCATCACCCTCTTCATCCACCCCATACCGAGGTTCTCCATCTCCACCTACCCCATACCAATGTTCTCCATCCCATCACCCTCTTCATCCACCCCATACCGAGGTTCTCCATCTCCACCTACCCCATACCAATGTTCTCCATCCCATCACCCTCTTCATCCACCCCATACCGAGGTTCTCCATCTCCACCTACCCCATACCAATGTTCTCCATCCCATCACCCTCTTCATCCACCCCATACCGAGGTTCTCCATCTCCACCTACCCCATACCAATGTTCTCCATCCCATCACCCTCTTCATCCACCCCATACCGAGGTTCTCCATCTCCACCTACCCCATACCAATGTTCTCCATCCCATCACCCTCTTCATCCACCCCATACCGAGGTTCTCCATCTCCACCTACCCCATACCAATGTTCTCCATCCCATCACCCTCTTCATCCACCCCATACCGAGGTTCTCCATCTCCACCTACCCCATACCAATGTTCTCCATCTCATCACCCTCTTCATCCCCCCCATACTGAGGTTCTCCATCTCCACCTACCCCGTACCAAGATTCTCCATCCCATCACCCTCTCCATCTACCCCATACTGAAGTTCTCCATCTCCACTTCCCCCATACCAATGTTCTTCACCTCCACCTCCCCCATACCAGTGTTCTCCATCCCATCACCTTCTCCACCTACCCCCTACCAATGTTCTCCATCTCCACCTCTCTCATACCAATGTTCTCCATCTCCAACTCCCCACCTCTCTCATACCAATGTTCTCCATCTCCACCTCCCTCATACCAAGGTTCTCCATCCCATCACCCTCTCCACCTACCCCATGCTGAGGTTCTCCATCTCCACCTACCTCATACCAAGGTTCTCCATCTCCCCCTCCCCCATCCCAAGGTTCTCCATCTCCACACCAACCCTCTCTACCTCTCCACGTTGACGTTC